TCCAACTATGATGCGCCATTCTCGTGTTCCACTCGACAAGTCAAGCGCAACCACGTCACCGACAAGTTCAATGGTCCCATGCTGATGTGCCACACTCGTTCCGCACCTCAAGTCAAGCCGTCATCGCCACCTCAAGTTCAACTCGTTCAAGTCCGACTGTCCGCAGCGCTCATCTTTGAAGGAGGGAGATGTTGGAGGACTACATCCCAGATCCGAATATCTAATTAGCATACGCTGCATTTCCGGTTCTATTGTCCCCCATTTATCGATGCTCCCCCTCATTGTTCTGTATCTTTCCCCCACCGCTTGGTCTGCCTCTACCTGGAATAAACCGTTTCGTCTACCTCACCCACAACTACAACAGATGAAAAATCCAAACCTAATTTTTTTTGACATTATTCGAATTTCTTAAGCTAAAAACTACCAGTTTCCTTGATAAACTTTTATTTTATTTCATTCATTTACATTTTACCTCGAAGAAAAAACGATTAATTTTTGAAAAGATGTCGCTGTCTAACAAATAAAAAAAATCATAAATCGTTTTAAGATGAGAATGATAAATCGTTTTCAAAACAAGCCTCATTAGCCTTAAAAAGGTAAACCTTGCTTACCATTTTAAGGCTAAAGAGGCTTGTTTTGCATTATATTCTCTATATATTACGTTTAACTGTATTAATACAAAGTTTTAAATCAATAAAGCACCCACCAAACCCATAAAATATCGACTGCCATCCCAGACTCGACGTGCACAGCGCGGCCACGATAAACGAAGTCACCCCGGCGGCCACCTGTCAATCCACATACATAGCCTCTCCCTTTCCCCCGAACCCCCGTCGCTTCCGTGGCGCAATCGGCAGCGCGTTCGGCTGTTAACCGAAAGGTCGGTGGTTCGAACCCACCCGGGAGCGAAATTTTTTGCTTTTTGCCTACTTGAACGCCGGATGTGTAGATTGCTCCTATCGTTGCTCGTTCCTCTGGTGGGAACCATTTTGAGGCCATGGCGTTGCAGCTTGGGAAAACAAAAGTCTAGAAGGTCGTTGTTTTTTAATCTTCCAATCTACCTGTCCAACTCCGAGCATAGCCCTCGACACCCAAAAGCCAGAATATGTTCTGACAGCCATAATTGGGCCGATTAGTGTCGCTACCATACAATTAAGCACAGCGCCTAAAAAACGGCGTTTTATGGTATTTTTATGTTTAATTTCAAATTTTCTGGAATTACTGCATTTTTTAAAGAAACAATAGTGACCAAATTGGAGCTAGGCTTCAATTAATACAGCGTAACCGGTTTAACCTACCTAATAACGTGATTTTAGGGCCATAGCGATCAGCCAAATACCCGGCAAAACACATCGTGACGAGCTGACCGTAAAAAGGAGCGGAGAGTAGCATAGAAGTCATCGATGGATCCCAGAGTAAGGTACCCTAAATTACTACTTATTAAAAAGCTAGATGATTACCCCATATCCATCCTGCTGGGCAATTTTCTCATCGTCAATCGGATGGCAAGCCGGTGGTAAGGGTTTTTCTAATTTAAGCTTTGAGGTATTTGTATGAAGAGGAAGAAACGCTGTCGCATTGACCTGAAAGTACGGAACAATCCCGATTTCCATAAAGAATGCCGACATGCAAATCTCGCTAGCCAGTCTCCTGTAAGCTTAATTATCGATAGCCAATATACCGACACAAAAATGTCGACAGCCGAAATGCCGACAGCCTCAAGGGCGTCGGACATTCCGAACCCTTGCGTATCGGTGTTTTCATCGTCGGGATTTCGGCTTGTCGGCATTCGGACTGTCGATATTTTGGATTGTCGGCATTCCGGCTAACGGAATTTCGGGTTCCCGATGTAAAAGACATTCATACGCTTCGCTTGAGCGTAAAGAGCCACGCAAAGTATGACTTCGAAAAACATACCATACACGTAATCCCAAGGCTCAAATTCACTCGCATGCATACTGTCAAGCAAAAAGCGGCAGATAGTAGAAAAGCTATTCGAAGCCGATGCGAACTCAAAAAAAAAATCAATATTATCGTCGTTGTTTCCGCTCGAAATACCTAAAAGAAAACAGCGGCTGTGCAGGGGAATCCATAATTTAGCCAAAATCAGGGCTAGTCGCGCCCAAAACTGGAGCCAATTGATAAAACTGGAGCTGTCGTTTAAAGTCTGGAAGCTCAGATTTTGGGGGGGGGGCAGAGCCTATTCTTCCAGCTGTCTATCTCTGATAGACTTATCGCGCCGTAAACCGCCCAGTTTGTGCTTCTATTTTTGGCACTTTGTGACTTTATGGTGTGGTTTTTTTGCACGTGCGGTTGTTTATTAAATTGTTTTAGTATTTTTTGAGGTGTTCGAATTATCCCAAATCAAACAGGCAACATAAAAAGTAAAAAAAATACTGGTACTGCACTTTTTAATCAGGTTAAAAACTTTTTCTGATATTACAGATTGTATTAAACATTTAAATACAGTAGATATATGTGAATTGACTTAAAAATGTCAACTTTAACTCCAAAAGTGTATTTAGTTATCGCTAACTTTCTTAAAAGATGGTTTATTCCAAGTTCGTGGTTTTTTAGGCAAAAGTCTTCGTTTCCGGCAGACTCTTCTCACTGGCGCTCACCTTCATCCGCGCCCATTCTTGGACTTTGGCTGTCAAAATTTGATGAAAAACTTGGCAATTTTAACTCACCCTCCCCAGCATAGATGTAATGAACCCCGGAAAGCATGCACATCGAGCTAGCGCAAGTGAAGATTATCATCCACTTATGAGGCCAGCCCTGAAAAGGGAACAATTTCTCTGAAGCGATCATACAATTACCATAAATTCTATAAAAGATAGAAGCATTGGCCCGGATACGTTGGCTACTGTAGCGTAGGTCATCGAGATCGAGGTCATCGTCCCAGAATACGGGGGTGCGATCGAGATCAGAGAGGTGAAGAAGCCACAGATGGCAAACGAGAAGAAGATGCCTGAAAATTGTGGTTTAAAGGCGCTGACAAGGCAAAGCTAGGGATACTGATGACTATGTATATTTTTCGCGCCGCCCGGAAACACCCGGGGTTACTGTGTCAGAAATCCACAGCCAAAAATCTCTTCAGTTGTTCTTTAAAAAGGGTCGACAGCAGTTATATCGAAAAATTTAAAAACTAGGAAACATGGCAGCAAGATTAAGGTTTCGCTAGATTTTAGAAGCCACATATTGAAAATCTTCACAAGGCCATAACCTACCGTATGCCAACAAGATCGGAAGCGCAATAAATGGACTCGCACATGAAGGTATATATCCAAGTGCAAACAACGCCATTCCGGAGCCAAAAGCACCTAAAATACCGTCATAATAACTTTAGTTTCTATAATATGTTGTAAAATAAGATAATCTCATAAACGAACTTACTAACACCCTGAAAGATCTTCCCCGACACATCCGGGTCCAAGATTTTGTTCCGCTTCATATAATCCGAAACCATCCCGAGAATGAGCTTCGAAGTGATTTGTGAGGCGAATGGGACCATCGTGAAAATACCGTTCTAAAAATGGTCGCAAAGGTCAGCCTGTTAGTATCCAATTAATAGACGTACCATGTGGATCGGAATATGGAGCACTTCTTTAAAATATGTAGGTAAAAAAGCTTGCATTAACGACGCGGCAAAGTTGAACGCAAATTGACTGGTGTAGTTGGCGAGGCAGGCTTTCCCAAAGAACAGCTCTCGCCAGGGGATGCTGTTTTCTTTCTAAAATTTATATAAATATAAAAATTCAACTGAAAAAGGTATGATTTAATAGAAATATCGACAAAATCCGAAGGCCTTATAAACCCACAAAAATGTCTGCCTGTGCTTTCGAAGACAAGTTTTCTTCTATATAAGCGGCTTCCTCTTGAGAAAGCCACCGATTCTCCGTGGGAGAATTTGAAGAAAATATCCAGAATACAGTGGCCCAGACGAGTCCAAGAGCACCTTAGAGGCATCAGAATATTAAGAAAAATTGGTTACCAAAAATGTAATAAATTGAAGGCCAGCCCCATGGTGACGAACAAAGGCCTGCAACAATTAGAGCCGTGAAACCAGCTGCGATCTTGAAAAGGTAGGGTTTTTTGTATTGAAGATTTCAATACCTGCGTCCCGCTTGTATAAATCGCTCCTACGGTAGATTTTTCGCTTTGAGGGAACCACCTCGCGACCATGCAGTTGATACATGGGAAGACAAAGCCCTAAACGTGTCGGTTTTGCTTTTAAAAGGCCGTTTGCGAGAGACCCGAACAAGGCTTGGCACAGTTTTTTTCGACCCCGATTTCTTGATGTCATCTGATAGAGCGTGGTCGAATTAGAGGAATCGCACTAATTTGGGATTTTTAAATTAGCATTTTCCTAGTTAAACAAGGCGTTAAAGTTGCCGACGTCCAAAATTTATCTCGACGACTACTTAACAGAATTGGCTGAAACTTTGTGACTAGGCCTAATTTGGGATGGGGATCATTTTTCTAATACATCGCGAAGCCCGAAAATTAGCAGAACCTAGTTAAATTGCATACCCAAAACAGTTTTTGCCAAACTTCAAATTAACGGCGAGTCGGCCGCAAGCTGGAATTAGGCTAGAAAGATGCGCAAAATTTTTCTGCATCGATTGATGTATTATTTAGGTGGCGGCCAGGTCGCCGTTTTCTCACAGCGAGGTTTTTATAGCTGAAAAATGGTCAGAAAATCTGACTAAAATGGAAAATATTGTGGTATTTACATATCGGAGTAGTCAAAACGCATCAAGAAATCATGCCAAGTCGATTGCAAAAAAGAGCAAAAAGAAATTCGGCTTCTGAGAGTGAGCAGGGATTGAACTGGCGGCGGCTCTGGATTGGCACGCCGACGCTCTACTCACTGCGCCACAGGGCTCCCAGGCGGAGGGTCCAGGTTCGATTCCCGCCCAAAACAAGCATCCCTTCAAATGTCGAATTTCTTTTTGCTAATTTTTGCGTTTAGCTTGGCGTGATCGTTAAATATGACCCCGTGGGTCAAAACATAGAAAATCGCAAAATTTTTGATTTTAGTCAGATTTTCTGACCATTTTTCAGCTATAAAAACCTCGCTGTGAGAAAACGACGACCTGGCCGCCACCTAAATAATACATCAATCGATGCAGAAAAATTTTGCGCATCTTTCTAGCCTAATTCCAGCTTGCGGCCGACTCGCCGTTAATTTGAAGTTTGGCAAAAACTGTTTTGGGTATGCAATTTAACTAGGTTCTGCTAATTTTCGGGCTTCGCGATGTATTAGAAAAATGATCCCCATCCCAAATTAGGCCTAGTCACAAAGTTTCAGCCAATTCTGTCAAGTAGTCGTCGAGATAAATTTTGGACGTTGGCAACTTTGACGCCTTGTTTAACTAGGAAAATGCTAACTTAAAAATCCCAAATTAGTGCGATTCCTCTAATTCGACCACGCTCTATCAGATGACATCAAGAAATCGGGGTCGAAAAAAACTGTGCCAAGCTATAATGGGGACTGTTCGAGTGACTCGCGGACGGCCTTTTAAAGCAAGTATTAGTAAGGCAAAAATCGATCATTATATATTTAGCTTTATTTTGAATAGATTTAAAGGTTTAATTCAACCATTAAAATCATGGGAAAATTTTCACCCATACCTCTCCCACTCCAATAATCAACCTAGACCCAAAATAGGCCCAGTAGCTATTTTCAGCCAAAACAGGTCCAAGCAGCGTCATTAGCGTGTAGTCCAATGCGGCGACTAAAAGCAGAGACTTCCCTCGTGTTTCCGGATCCTAATTTCATACCAAAAAGAATTGCCTTGGGCCCAAAACGATCAGCAAAATAGCCAGAAATCGCGATCGTCACCAAGCTTCCATAGAATGTTGCGGAAAAGAGGAGTCCTTGCATGGATGGGCTCCAGAGAAGGGTGCCCTAAAAATAAGCTAAAAAGTTCACTTAAAAAATTTACACGGACCAAGCATAAATCTTAACTAAAAGTTAACGAAAAGGCATAAAAAAATACCCCATAACCACTTTCAGTCGGTGTCGACTCATCATACGCATACAGGCATTGTCTACTGTCTTGTAAAAATGAGGTGTTTTGGGATATCCTCGGCTTTTCGAAGGCCGTGGAGTTTACCTAAAAGCCGCATTATAACCTTTTCTACATGCTGTTAGTAGCAATCCGGTAACCCGGAGCGTATCTACGATTTTGAGCTATAGAAAAGCAGGTGAAAAGGCAAAAATAAGCAGGATTTTTTTCATAGGAGAATCAGTCTCTCTTTACGTCAATAACCCACCATACAAGTCACGCCCATGCTCAAATTCAACCTCATCGACACCATCACGTACAGCCCAGACATCAGCAGCAAACATATCCGCAATCGATGGGATTTTAGCGAAAACAAGGCCGGATGAGCCATTTGGACCCGTCGAGGTCAATTCGACAAAAGTTCCACGATGCGAAATGGACCCTTTTCAAGCCAGGCCTTGCATCACTGTGTTGCAGTTGAGTGGAGCGCTCAGAACTTTGCATAAATCTGTTTGGAGAAAAAGCGGCTCGACACAAGTGGACGTGTCGGTTTCGATGAATTTCACATTTTTTCGTAATTTGTGTGTACCTTGGCTCCTGATTGTTTAGCCACATCGAACATAAAAAATGAGTTTTTTGACAGCTCTCTTTGATTGTAAGCGGACGTTATTAATTGGATTTTTGTATATTCATGTGTTCATCCAGAGATCAAAATATCTGCTTTATTCCTCTGCACCGTCATGAGATCATCACAAAACACACATGGCTATAACAAAAAAATAATACCGCAAATGCTATCACCGAAAGTGAGCCAACCGGACCCGGGGGCTAATTCTAAAAAAAATCATATTCCTCTGTGGATCATTTCTGCGCTGTCGTGAGGTCGATCGAGTCTTTCGGCTGCGCCCAGGACTGGATTTTCGCTAGGAATATACAGTTTTTCCACTTGTTCAAACCACGATCAAGTTGTTTTAAAATTAAGGCTTACCTTGACCAAAGCAGACGAAGAAACAACCGGCGCAAAATTGAATGGTAGCGCAGAGACCGAAGACGATCAGCCATTTGTTAGGGAGGTCCTGGAAAAGCAGCTTGAGAGAGAGAGAGAGAGATAGGGAGAGAGAGCGAGATAGAGAGATAGAAAAAAGATAGAGAGAGACAAAGTCAGGGAAAGAGAGCAATAATCTGAAAATCGTGGAAAAATACTCACCAAATAATCGATCAGCGCAATAATGTTTGGTCCAGCAAGGCTAGCCACCGTAGCGTAACCGGTAGATATCGAAGAAATGGTCCCAGAATATTGAGGAGCTACTGTCATTAACGAAGTAAAAAATCCAGGGATGGCACCAGCAAAGAACATTCCTAAATTTAAAGGGTTTTAAAGCCTAGTTCGTCTACCATATGCCGATAGAAGATATAGGGCCACTGCCGGGTTTTCACAAGACGGTAACCAGGCGAGGAGGAAGAGTATGATAGATACCCCGATAGACCCTGGAAAACGCATGAAAATTACGATATTAATTACGATGATTCTGAGCTAGACGCTAAAAAATTATGAAATTACTTACCGCAACCCTGGAAGAACTTGACCAAGGTGTCGGAATCAACAAGCTCTCGCTTCTTCAAATAGTCCGACAGGATAGCAGCAATATTTTTAGAGACGATTTGGGTGAAGAAGGGGGCAATGTTGTAGAGGCCGTTCTGAAAAGGTATTATAGTGAGCTACCACGGTATTTCAGGACAGGTTTTAATTGAGGTTCAGCTACTACAACCCACTAGATGGAAGAGAAAAACCAACCAAATGGATCGGTAAAAATAGGTGGTCCTTGAAGTATGTCGGCAAAAATGACTGCATGATGACGGCGCACAGGCTGAAGGCGAACTGGCAAAAGTAGATGGCCTGCATGGTGCGGTTGAAGAGGAGGTGGCGGATGGGGAGGCCTTGGCGGACCTGAAAAAAAAGGATTTTTGAGCCTAGGTATTTATCTTTTTTATGGTTTGAAGGGACAGGTAAGCTATGGATTTTATCGAGTTAAAATCCAAATCCTAACAGTACGGAGTCTTGCCTACTTACCAACATATCCTTCTGCTTCCTGGACAACACCTCGCGCTCCAGAAACTCTTTCTCCTGCTCCCCGGTCCAGCGATTGTCTTGCGGGGAGTTTGTGACGAAGATGATCCAGAAAACGGACCACAGTAGTCCGACACCACCTAGGCATTCGAAAATCAATTTTTAGGAAAAATTCAAACCGAAAAAGTAGAAAAATGAGGGCCATCCGAGGGAGGAGGCGCAGAGTTCGGCGACGAAAAATGACGTGAAACTGGACGCCAACTAAAGGAAGTTTTTTTGGACGGTTTTTGACGATATGACGATCTAAACGATGCCATCAGTTGAAGTAATGAGATCCCTACCTGATTACCCGTAGTGTACAACGCTCCGGCAGTAGATTTTTCGTATGATGGGAACCATTTTGAGGCCATACTATTAATGCATGGTTGGACGCATCCCTAAGATTTATTGGTATTTTTGTTTTTAAAAAAATTACCATAGTTTCTCCCTTAAAAATCAGACTTTTAAACCCACAATTCCAATACCCATCATGGCTCTAGAAGCAAAAAAGGCCGGGTATGAACGCTCTGCCAGCGTCGGGCCAATCATCGTGAACACGACGCAATCGATTACGGCAGCTAAATGGAGATTTTTTAAGAATTTTAACGGATTGTGTAGTCGTTTAGCTTGTCATTAAAGGTGCGTGCAACCCAAAAGTTCCTAAAAACCTACCAACAAGCAACATTTTCGGCCCGTACCGATCGGCCAGATACCCGGAGAAGGCCATCGTTACGAGACCACCGTAAAATATAGCACCAAATAAGGCCGACTGCATAGAGGGAGACCACATCAAATATCCCTAAAAAATCTTAAGGGGCTAAGAAAGGTGCGTCTACCACATAGCCGTCCTCCTTGGCCACGCTCTCGTCAACGATGGGTTTGCACACATCGTGGGAGTGGTCGATGGGCTCGTTTTTGTAGAAGTTTTTGAGTTCTTCAGGAGCGTAGGCTGTGGAGTTTACCTTAAATGGAGCGTGAAATAGGAGAGAGAGAGAGAGAGAGAGGCAGAGAGAGCAGGATAGAGAGCAAGAGAGATATTTAAACTCCACTTACCATACACGTGATCCCCATGCTCAAGTTGACTCTCATAGAAGTCGTTGAGAAAAATGCGGCCATCAGCAGAAAGCAAACGCGGAGCCTGTGGGAATGAAGTGAGAAAAGTGAGGGTCGCCTCTCCTTTTCCTTCTCCTCCTCATCTTCGTCTTTTTTTGGCATAATCTAAACCGTATAAATAGCGATCTTTTAAAACGCAAAAAATAGACCCAAAAAATGGATAAAGCAAGGAAGACAAAAGATCGAAGCCCCGAAGCCCAGACGCCAACTTTTATGTGTAAGAAGAAATGATGCAAGCGATGTCTAGACAAAGGGAAAAGCCGAATCGACTGATGAGACCACAGCTCCTCCCGTTTTTTTTCTTGATCTGGTTGGACCCTGGAAAGAGCGCAAAATAAAAGCTTCCCGGCCGGGCATCAGCCTCCGCCGGTCAATCGAACAATTCCCGGGCGCATGAACAACACCTATTCAATTTCATGCCACATAAATTTATAAACAGCTGACGAATCGGGAAATCAGGTGGTAGGAGGGAAGACAATGAGGACAAATTGAGCGCAATTTTCTAATATCCTCGAGAATGACTTCCAAAAATTATCCGAGGTCTTTTTCCAGGGTTTCAAAGATCTTCAAAGAGTGGAAGCCTTAAAACGTTCATAAATTGCCTAAAAACATATGTGTTCCTTCGATATTGGAAAATTAGTGATTCCCCGCAGCTTATAAAGGTTCAAAAACCAGCTGACTGTTCTTAAAAAATGTAAGTGGCTGTTTTTAGGTAATTTTGCAAAATTCAAAAAAAAACCATTTTTATAATGGCAATAAAACCAAGACGCTCACAAAATTTGCAGATAAATTCTCCTAAAAAAATCACGAATTTTTTAAGCGCAGTGGCGGATAATCGAGGATTCCAGAGCTGTTGCTCAAAACCAGATGAAAGACATTTTTTCGTAAAATCAAACAAATCCTGGAATTTGCCTGTTTATGGTAAATTTCCCATGAAATTTAAGGGCCAGGCGTAAGCAAGGTCTTTATGGGGATTTCGTGTCGTGAGAGTGGGACGAAAATACCCGCAAAGTTCGTCTGGGCCGGCAATGGGATGAGTGGGGAGAGGGAGGTCAGGAATGGCCAGCTGGACCGAGGTGGGGGTGAAGCCTAGAGGAGATGAGGGAGAGCCCAGACGGCACACATCGATCCAGGGATGGGGCCCAGAGAAGGACAAACAGAAAGAGAGAGAGAGAGAGAGAGAGAGAGCACACCTCACCACAACAACAACAAACACCACATTTCCGCTTTCTTGTGCTACCTGGGTTGAAGCCGTGTACTTTGGTGTGCCCCAGGAAATCAAGAGACCCAAAAAATACGGCGTTAAGCCAATGACGCAACGTGACGAAATTTGAGAAACGCGGCGTGAGGCTTTATTTTGGTGCCCCGGGGCAATAAATTATTTTATCCTTTTGTTTTGATATTTTGCGCAGGATTCATTTAATTTCGTAGACATATTTCTTCGTCTGAATTTGATTTGCGCAGTGAAAGGCTCATCCTCTTGGGTTTTTGATAATTTTTGGGTATTAGATGTCGCGATTAAATTTGTACTTTTATGGGGTTTTTGAGCAAATAAAAACAGGCCCGATAGGTTTCCATACATTTAATTTTTTCACTAAGAATTTAAACTTTCCATATCCTGAAAATTCATATAATCCGGTCAGGCTGCGTAGTTTATAAAGCTCCATATTATTTAAGCCGCCTTCTACAATTTCATTCGGAAATCAAAGCATTTTCCAAATTGCCCAGGCAAGTCAACGACAACAACAATCATGCCAAAAAGAAATTTCGGCTGGCTGCTGATGGCTTCTGGTATTGAGTTTGCCTACGCACTAAAACACACATGCTATTGAGAAAACTACAAAAAATGACGTGCAAAGCAAAGAACGGTCCGAAATTGTGTGCAGGGGTGTACCCCGGAATCACCGGGCTTTTCGGAAGCAGTCGCGATCGCCAGATCTTGGGCGTCTTATCTTTCCGGAGGCCCGAAATGGAAACTCTGCCCATCTGCCGGTGGGCTAACAATGGCCGCCGGCAACAATAGGGATCAAAAATTAAGCGGGAGCAAAAAAAAAACTGTAAAACACAAAAGTTATCCTTAAAACATTATTCTTTGAAATGTTGGCGCTCGTTTTTGGCTACGTTTTCGCAGTTAGCATGGCGATGTTGCCTGCCCTGCATAATACCCTGCCGAGAAATGATCACTTACTCACTTACGGTTGCTGCCGATTTTAATAATAAAAAGTGGCTAAAATTCCCAATTCAGGCAGCATTTTCGAAAATCAAAAAATTGGGTTCCGATCGGTAGAAGACGGCCAAATGCGCAGGGGAGGTTTTTGGGACACCCTGTATTTTTGAGATTCTTGTTTTCGAAATTTTGGTTTTTGGTACTCTGGCTACGCCCGCTATCCCGACATGAGTATGCCATTTTCTCATAATCTTCCGTATTTTATATTGTCTGTTTTTCAGGTATTTTTATTTTAGCATTTAAATCATAAGCTCTTTATTCTCGTTGGAACATGGAATGGCTGTTGTTCGACCGGTATCTCATCGTAGTTGCCGTCATGCAAAGTTCATACAAAACTCCCGCAAATACAATAAATAAATTAACTAAGGAGGCAATTATAAAAAACAGAAAATATCAAGAATACAAGAAATACATCGGAAAATTGGCTAATTTGGGGCGAGCCCGTTGTGATTTGGGGTTGGTACTTTTATTCTGGCCAGCGCGAAGAACTGCTCGCTGCTGGTCGATTTTTCACTAAAAGTTTAAGATATAAAATACTCTTGTCGCCACAGTCTCTCTCTCGCTCGCTCGCTCTCTATCTCTTGCTCTCTCTCTCTCTCTCTCTCTCTCTCTCTCTTACCGGTTTGCTCGCACTCGAATCCCAAGTTGATACCAGGCTTCATGGCCGTTCGACACCTTTTCTTTCACCCGAATTTGCATAGATTCGATGTTGTGTTCATCGGATAGCTTTAAAAAAATATAAATTTTCATATAAATTTTTTAGTGATACCTGGTCCATTATTGGCTGCTCAATCCAGACCAATTTATTTTCATTCATTACCAAAGTATAGGCGCATATTTGTCCGCCGTCATTCTGGAAAGATGGCTTTAGTTCATTCTCTCTCTCGCTCTCTCTCTCTCTCTCTCTCTCTCTCTCTCTCTCTCTCTCTCTCTCTCTCTCTCTCTCGTCCAATCCCATTAAATGGTTATAATTCCCATACCTGAGCAGCCATGAACAAATTTCCATTCAACAGCTGTAAATTACTCCAAATAGCATCGTCGGCAACACTCGGACAATTTCCCACGGTATTTGAACAAACACAGGGTACGCCATTTTTCCTAAATCCCAAAATACTACATCGCGCCCGCAAGAGAACATACCGTAATCTCGTCAGCCTCAACCCTTGAAAGCTGGGCAGATACCCGACGGTTTCCTCCCCACGCGTCTCGGCTTCCAACAGCGCTGGCGGGTCGGATTTGGTCAGGAAATACGCCCTGTTTTTGAAGATTACAGGGCCTCGGATTTCGCAGTCCATCGAGAACCTGAAAATTATTGTCATTAGTGGTTGTTTTTGAAGCGTTACTATCCCTCTAGAATGTTTCCACTGACCGCGTCAACATGTTCAGCTTGATCGGAAGTGGCCGCTCAAGGCTTGGAGCGCGGACTTTGAAGGACAGCTTGGCTTTCCGGAATGGAACGAGCGTCAAATCCATCCGGTCAAACACCGGGAACGACACCTTGATCATCACCGACCAAAAGTTCTAAAGAAAATTTAAGGTTGGATCAGCTTGCTGACATTTTCCAGCTTTGGCTTCTCGATATCAAGCGAATTCTGGGAGATGTGGCTTTCAGAATGTGAGGATAGGGTGCGCTGAGCGGAAATCCGGCTCGGGAGATGTTCATCCGAATTCGAGCTGTCAGAGGTTGAGGCGGAGAGTCGTTCTTTGTTCACCTAAAAGGAGCGGTTTTTCCATGAGAAGAGAGAAAGAGAGAGCGAGAGAGAGAGAGAAAGAGAGATCGAGAAAAGCATTTTCAGGAACACAAACCTGTTGAAGAAAAAGTTGACGATCCGAGCTCCTCCTCGATTTAATAAATTTCTTATTTTCCTTCCGCGATAAAAACGAAACGACGACTACCGCTGGCGCTAGTCGATTCATGTTGACCTAAATTACAAAAGTTGCATTTTAAAGACAACAGAAAACCTTTGAAGAGCTCTACCAACCTCATAGCCAAACGGCTTCAACTGGGTCTTAATCTCCTGTATAACATCCACAACTCCCTCTCTCAATATCAATAAAAAGAATTCGAAGCTTTTCGTGGAATGATTTTTCAAGACGGCCATTACCCGGAAGGGAGTTCTAAAAAAAATTAAATCATCCGAATTTTCAAACTTACTCAGTGATCGTCGTAAATCTCGCCCAATAATAGTGGCTGCTCGTTAGGATTAGGGGCAATAAATAATCAACGATCTGGGGGTCCTGATTGGCGTTACGGTATTTGATTAACCGGAGGGTATTTTCCTTCTCGTTGTGAAAAAGAGCTCCATTTTCTACAATATCAAAGGCAGCGGCTGGGCCGGCTGGAATATCTTCGGGTGGCCACATGCATAGGCTGGCCGCGGCTGAAAATTGAACTTTCGCGCTGTATAAAAATGGCAGGACCAGAAGATCGAATGAGAAGGTATAAAATACAGTTAAATTTGGAAAAACTAATCGGAATCTGTATCAATAGGTCCAATATAGTATAAAAATAGCTGGTATGACGTTACTTTACCCCCCCCCCCACAGCCGAAGGATTCCAAATTTTTCGGTATTTTTGCTTGTTTTGCCCGAATTTTTGAAATGCCATTCGATAGAGCGTCGAACAATATACTGACCGTTTTAATTTGAGCCTACAATAATGTAAAAGAAAAAAGTTATAGCCAAAACCTTCCGGCTGGGGCGCGGGGGGGGGTAAGGTAAAGTGTAGCCAAACAGTTATATGATGGTATAAATAGTAGAACCAAGAATAAAGGAATACTTAAGGAGAATGGCAAGCATGACGACGCAAAGCGCGCACGCGGCTCATCTGAATTAAAGGCGTCGTAAGATTCCATATGGTCATAACAAAACAAAACAAAACAACAAATTCTGTAACTATACCTTAAACGTCCATTAAAAGGGTATAGTGATGTACCGGATGCTTAATTAAGGCATAACGATCAAAAAGAATTTTTTTTGAACAAGAAACGGGCCCCCTATCTGCAAGCAGCTGCTGATTCAGACGCTTTGGGTCTGTGACTCAAGCAATAAACGTGGAAGGGGGAAAGAAAATTAGGAGGAATTGCAAAAAACAATTACCATATTAAACTTATGGTTATATTGATGGCATCAAAGAAAGCCTTGGATGTGAAATTCGTTAGGTGCATAATTGGGGAACGGCCGCGGAATCAGGTGACGGCTGGGATGGGGTGATAAGAGGTTTGGTGCATACACGCCACGCGTAATATTTTGCCCAAAACGCCCGGATAGCCGCTTGATAAAGGCGCATAATAAGGCGGTTTGAAGTGAGCCGAGAAAAAGTGGAAAGGGCAATTGGGCACAAACTGGGCACATATTTTTTTGAGGGCTGTACTATTGGCATTGTTTTCTACAACTTTTCAGGTGAAAGATAATCAAACGTTTACTCCAGTAAAAGTTGAAAATGATTAGAAAGCTTATTCTCAAGCCAGGAAAAGCTGAGCTTTCCTGCAAAACATTTTTTCAGCGTTATAAATTTTTCAGAATCCGAACTTCCAAAAAATGAATTTAATTGTTTTGAGACCGACATCTGAAGGAGCCTTTCGTTTTGCGAGCAAGTCCGTTTTGCCTAGCTCCACGACGACGAAATATAGGAAAGCTGAATAAGAAAAATACAAACATGAAAATCATAAAATTACGACGAGCTATTTGCCTCTTTATTTCTGGACCAAAAATGAAACTAGTTAACCGAAATTGCAAACTCGCAAAACCTGCACAAACCACACGAACGTGAATGTCAACCCCAGCCCCACGCCCCGCGCGAAAAACCACTTTCGAAAAAATGCTGACGATGCGGGCCGCGCGGCTACCGGCCTGATGAAATATTCGAGTGCGCGAGAATTTGAACTTTTCACGGGGGTTTTGGAGACATCAGTTTATCGCAAATTCATAGCGGAAAACCACGTGGAAAAGGGTAAAATATAGTCGAAAATTTGTTGTGACCATTGAGATGGTCTGGGGGTACCGTTTTAACCTTGAAAAGTGTGTTTGGCGCTCAAAAGGGGAGCGGTGAAACTGGGTAGGTAGCTAGCAGGTGGATTATTGGACTATTGGTTTGAAAAGTACAAATCACGAATTTAGGGCAGATTTAGACGGTACTTTAAAGGGATTTAGAAGGCAAAAGCTTGATCATCTTTTAGAATGGACCAAAATCCAATAATAACTATTTTTACAGGCTTTTGGTATCTTTAAAATGTAGAAGTAGTGCACAAAGAAGCCGTGCAAGCTATAATTAAATTGTATAATTAACAAGCATTTAATCAAGGCAATAATTAACTTTAAACGAAGCTCGAAAGCAAAAATTTCGTCAGATTTAAGATTTTTTGGCATTTTTTGCGCCAAATTTTTTATGCTTTTATGAATTTGAAAAAGTAGAAAGAAAAATAGTTTTTTAAAAAGAAAGTACATCTTGTAGTTTCGTTCAAGCCCAGAAGTGAAAAGAAACACTCCGGGCCGTGGGGGCGGACCCGGAAGCGTCTTTGTGCGCCTTTCTCGGCCCCCTTGAAAGCAAATACTCGAGCCAGGGTGACGGGAATTCGATAAATCTAACAAGGGAAGTGCACGACCGGCCCACGAGAAATCGACACGAGACATAGTCGTTCTGATAGAATTGGATACGGGGATTCCGAATCTGTAATCAGAATTTGCTAAATAAAACGGAGAAAAAAGTTATGAAGCTTCAAAGTTGGCCAAATCGCCAAAAACCGTACCTTTAAGGGCCCGTAAAAACCGGTGGAACGGAATTGAGGAGAAAAGAATTAGTGCAGCTTGTTCAGCAGAAACAGCGCTTTCGAATGAGCTGTAATACGTAGCATTTGCAAACAATTCACTGAAAAAAGTTTTTTTGGATTCACGGGCAAGGGTATGGCCTGTCAAGTTCATAGAAGAGATTTTCGCGAAATCATCGTAAACTTGAAGTAAGATAGCTCATTCGAAAGCGCTTTTTCTGCTGAACAAGATGCAATAATGGGTTGTGGCAGCAATTCCATTCCCTGGCCTTTACAGGCCCATAAAAGTCCTATTTTCGGCGATTTGGCCAACTTTGAAGCTTCATAACTTTTTTCTCCGTTTTATTTAGCAAATTCTGATTACAGATTCGGAATCCCCGTGTCCGATTCTATCAGATCCACTATGTTTCGTGTCGATTTCTCGTGGGCCGGTCGTGCACTTCCCTTGTAAGCCGAATTTGATTTGTGCCCTCTACCCACGAGATTGGGGACAGAAATAGGGTGGATTTGGGGTTATTTTAGGGTTAAAGAGGCTGACAAGCATAGATTTCTACCGAGTTGAGACGTTCGCCATGCACAATGTGTCGTAATCGATGAGGCCATTTAACGGTTCGGAATCCATTTCCAGTGAAAAGTTGAGTGGGTGCGGTGCGTGTCGCGGTGGTGAAAAATTTGGAGGAATACTTACAGTAAAAAATGAAAAAGTTTTAGGGAAATCGTTTATAATTCCAATGATGGAAATATACGCGTTAAATCTTGTAAAATCGATACGTCAAATCTCCCCTAAACCATCCTGTTTTCCACATAAAAAGTCATATGATATTCTTATGTGATAGAGAATTGAAGGATTAGAGAGAGAGAGAGAGAGAGAGAGAGAGAGAACGAAAGATAGAAAGAGAGCGGGAGTGAGAACGTGAGCGTAAAACCGGATTATTTCCATGACCTTTCAACCGGTCATAAACCAGAACCAAACCCGTCACGCATAAAAAACCCGAGGAATGACACCAGATTTCACGCGGAAATTGCAAAAAAACGTGGCAGTACCGATTAGGGCTGGAAATTCGACAGGGAGCTCGTGGTCTGATTGCCCACCCGGTTGCGCGCATACATTTATTGGGCGGTCAGCCCCATGCCCATGCCGCGACCCTTGCCGGGTATTTGCCATCGAAACGCGCCATTCGAGGCGGTTTTTTGGAAATTCCAGTCGGGCTACGACATTACAATCTATGACTTGGTAGTTATACCTATACTCGTGAGTGATAGACGAGTTACGAATTTTTGTCTTTTTATGCACTTGCATCAAGGGGTTTCTTTTCAAGCAAATGGTTTTCTCGAGCTCCGATGTCCGCCATACATAAAAATCTCACGGTTTTTATAACGCTTTCCAATAAAAAAAGATTACAATATGTCATCACATGATTTTATCTAATTCAATAAAATAAAAAAGATGCTTAAAAATATTTGGTTTGGTAAGGAAACTGGTTATTAATAATCAGGAAAATCGGAGAAATAACAAGTTAAGGATAGTGAAAAGGTATATTCAAGGATTAACGTCTGAAAGTGTTCAAAAGTTAAATATGACGTTCTTTTTCAAAAAACACTCTCAAATTCAATCTGAATAAACACAAAATATCGAATGGAGGCTATTTTCAAAGGTCAAAAAGTCATCGTAAAATTCTTCAGCCGCTACTTTATGGCTCCACATTTCAAGGCACGGCACAAAACAGGTGCAAAACCAGTGGGGGGAAGAGGCGATCTTGTCGCCTGGCCTGCACGGCCACGTCAAACCGTCACCGAAAAAACACGGGCCCTGAGACTAAAAGGAGGGGCCCAGTTGAGGGCCCAACGGCTAGGGTGTCTTCCCCTCTCTGTGGTGCCCCCGATCGACACGGCAGCGTCTGGGCCCTCCCCTTTTCAGGCGGTCTCTCTCCTCTTTGCTCTCTCGCTTCTCCACCCCTTTAAACGCAAAAGAAGCGGCACCGGGCCCCTAGATGGCCATCTGTTCCGGGGGGAGTGGCCGTTAGAATTGAGGTCTATTATGGGGGTTTTTCTATGGATGGAGAATTGCAGCGGAGTTAGAAAAAGTCCCAGAAATGAGCAATTTTTTCGGGGGTGTTTAGAATGCCTTTTTAAATAGAATGTTTTCCTAAATGCGTTAAATCCAATTATGAAATCAAGAGTTTTCTGATAATTTTCTATAAATTTAGCCCGAGATAATGCAATTTTTTCAATTTCTTCGAGAGTAAGAAATGTAAATTTTTTGAATTCCTTAAATTCTCAGATATTACATAATATGGAAAACTTCAAACTAAATTTATATAGCAGTATTAATGATTCAATCATTGGCTTAAAATACGTGATTCGTAAGTATTTTAGTTATTTGAAAGAAGGTGGGGCTCTAAATAATAATACATTACGTCCTGGAAAAAGTTGAAAAAGCAAAAAGCCCATTTTTTTCTAGAGATTTACGAAAGAGAAGAAATCACGTATAACATTATTGCAAAAGTAGGATGGACCACAAATTATACATTACGACACGAAAATGGTTCCAAAAGAGGATTTCCTGCTTTTTCGCACGGTTTCACGCATCAAGAAAACCAAACACCCGCCAAATCCCTACACGACGATTATCCCCAGCCCATTCAACTGCCTAAGCGTTCCCCGGGGCGCCAAACTCCGACTTTTTACGCTGAAAAATTGGTGTCTGGACGGCCAAACAACCCGACACGCTTCCCGGGGTTCATCAATCTATGACCCAAATCTCGAAAAACGGGCGGTGAACGATGGTCCTCGCCGGGTGGTTGGGTTGCCGGAGGGTCTTTCGGTAGCTTTGCCTTCCAGAGTTCTAGCTTCTCGTGGTTGTGTCAAGACAAATGTTGCGCAACTTGACTCCACCGGTTCCGCTTTTGGGTTCAAGTTCATTTCTCTCACAAACTGACGTTTTGAGCTCTAAAACCCCTCAAAAAAAAATTCAGGGTAGTTTCTGGGTGTAAAACGACATCATTTCTCGAGAAATTTGACTCACAGTTAAAACCATCTTTCTGCCATTTTGAAATGCGACTTTTATATGCAAGTTTTTATTTAAAAAATCTTCTAAAAAAATTTACGGTCCTTTAATTCGTGAAATGAATAATTTCCCGAAAAATTGGCTCTAAATTCAAGCAACTTGTCCTTTATGCAAATTTTTTATTCAATTCAGCTGTCAAAAACCAAAAAAATCACACACAAAAATCAATAGGTGAATTTGCAACATGTTGCGCCCAGAAAGAACGGGGCACATGACGATAGAGGAAAGTACGCGGGGCGAATGAGCAAACAGATGTCAGGCGAACGAACGTCGAAAAACGTAAAATTTACAGCCACACTTCACTTTTCAGGCTCTTCAGAAGGTGGCGTAGGATCTTCCGGTTTTTCTTCGGCGGTCCCGGTTGGAAGGCCAAGTCGATTGCTCGTGTAGATTTTTACTTTTTTCTGAAAATGACGATATAGTGAAGCTAGGGGTTTAAGGGGGCTAGAAAGCCGAAATTCGACCCCTCCGATTTGCTCGGCCTCGACAACTACAAATACTCTAAAATGCACCCAAACCTGTTTGAATAAATCGAATTAGCTTGAGATTTTTAGACGTTTTTCGATGCGTCGCATAACTTTCGATAACTAGTTGATGAAAGTTGTAGATTTTTACGCTTATCTGACCCTTTAAAACCCAAGAATCTTACCTTGCTAATATTGGATTTATTAGCTATTGAAAATACCTGTATCGTTGCATGGATCGGTTCCATAATCTTATAGTTCTTCGGCGCATTAATGGGTATTATTGGCCGCAAGTCCTCATCAAGGAAAATTTTTGTCGTGACTCCAGTCTCATCAACGACATTTATCGACAACGGATCTCCAGCGTTTTGAGACCCGAACGACTCATCTGGTACCAAACTTGCCACTGAAGGACGTGGATCGGATGGTGCCTGAAAAATCGATAATTACTGCCAAAAATCGGTACGATACCTCAGTCGGATCCGGTTCCTTGAAATGTATAAATGGCATAATCGGTTCGGCTTTCTTCTTCATTTCGGTGGGTCCAATGATGTAGTGCATACTAGATAGTAGGTGCTCTTCATCTTGCTTTGCCTCTGAAGCTTGTATCGCCCCGGTTTCGACAGCGTCATTTGGGGCATTTGGTAGCGGAATTCCGAGAATACCCCGTAAGGGTATTAAAGCCGGCATTCCCAGGCTTGTCGCCTCTTTATTTTGAGTAGTAGTTTCTTCTATCGCTTTGATCGTACCCATCGTTTCCAAGCCGTTCGGTGGCGTGGGGCGTACTTCAGGCGCTCGGGTTTCTTCAGGCTTAGAGTCTGTGGTCAATAAATCCTGATCTTCTGTGGCTGCCTCTTTAATTTCCGGGTTTGGGATGGATCCAATCGTTGTGCTGATATCGGAATTTCCCTTCGGAATCCCGCGGTACATTGTGGTTTCGGGATTGGAGTTTGAAGTCTCGGTGTCGTCCCCAGGCCAAGGGTGCGCTGGCTCGATTATTGGGAGGCCTGAATTAAAGCCTTTTCACGTTGAAAATGTATTAATTCTACACAGCGCTTTCAAAAATAGGTATTCAATAAAAAAAGTTACCTGGAGGTGTAGCGCACTTTTCTTCACTTTCATCACTACCATCCGGACAATCCTTGGTATCGTCGCAAAGCAAGTCACGAATTATGCACTCTCCCGATTTGCATCTGAAAGTTTGCTTTGCTTTTCTGTCCGTTTTCTCTCCATCGGTCTCTCTCTCGCTCTTTCTCTCTCTCTCTCTCTCTCTGTCTCTCTCTCTCTCTCTCTCTCTTCTGGAAATAACTCACAAAAATTCGAAAGGCTGACAACCAATTGTCGATTCGTTATGTTTCTTCTCAAATTTTTGCATAATCACCGGAAGAGGCACCCCAGGGCCCATTCTTGATGGTATTTGGCGCGGGTTTTGTAGAGGTTCTAAAATACTTAAATTTACAAATTTTCTCCAACTTTCTGCAGGGCTCGTGACGTTGATATGGGTACAATTGGCCTCGTCGAAGTTGTTGTCACAGTCTAAAAAAGCTTAAGATAATCGTGCCCCCGTTTTTTATTACAGGTATCCGTTTGATCGGTGGTATGGTACCTGTCCGCCCATCACAAAGCCATTCATGCATTATACACCTTGTCACGCCCAAATAAACGCAGTCCGGCTGATCGCCATGGCATCCCTGTCCGGCTTCTAAATGTAGCAATGCAAAATGAAGGATGCCAAAGGTATTCAAATCCCTCTATCCTACTTCTCCCCAAAAAGCAAAAAGGAGTAGGGGGCACACGGAGTTGAACCATGGACCTATCGGACTGCAGCCGATTGCTCTACCACTGAGCTATACCCCCGGGTGGGAGCGGGCGCCGGGAAGGGGGTGTTCTGTCTTCGGCCCGCCACCCGGTTCGAGAGGATGCCTGTTTTGGGGGTCCTCTCGAGATCAAGGATGATGTATTGACGTACGCAAACGGAAAAGATGGTTTTGCTTAATAAAAACAGAATGGAAATCTTAAAAAATTAAGAAGAAATAATTGGAGGCGAAAGTAAAAATGACCCTACAAGCTGTAATTAATTTCAGGGGCTGGCAAGACAGGAATAGGGGGCTTTTTGGTGCAGGTTGGATTCAATTTTTTCGATTCTTTCGCTACTCGACGCGCATCGAGCTGGTTACGCCGCGACGAAGAGATCGCAATGGATCACGAGCGTCGAGTATCGCGATCGCGGGCTCACGCCTTACTATTAGAAGCTTTATACCAAATAAAATCTAGAACCATGCCTTGGCCGCCCCTTTAGAATGGCCTCTTACTCGAATGCTGATGACAAGCAACCGAATGCTCATCACTCCCATCATCGCAGTCATTCCGCCCATCACACATCCAAATTGTTGGTAAGCACTTTTCCGGTTGCCCCGTGCATTGGAACTCGTTATCGTTGCACGAAGCTGACGATGTTAAATGATGAAGTCTAATTTAATCCTTACCTGCAAATTCCAAAAAGGCAAAAAGCAGAGTTAGGGTCAATATTATGTATCTGCTACTTGGTCCCATTTTGGGGGCATTATGCGTTGAAAATCGAGTTTAAACGATCCTCGAGCGACTTGTAAAGATTCTAGCGATTTTCAAGGTAAAATCAGCAGAATAGTCGCGAGAATCTGCGAATTATGCAAGTTTTCAGCGCAAATTCGTACTGGCCTAGTCGCAAAAGGCTGGCTGTTTTCCAGCGCGACGATTTCTGTTGCCTGCCGCTGCCTAGGGATGGAAGACCATGACGACCGTGGGCGGGCTCGTTGTATATTCTGGGGCTCTTGGATTCTGGAATAGGAGATGAATAAATATTTGGAAAATTCGTCGGCTCAAGCAAGCGAAACAGACAAAGGATAACGGCAAAAATGGCAAAAACGGAAAGTGAAGAAGGCAAAACGTAAACTGCTACGTTAAAAATTTCTACAAAGGAATTTCGCTAGAATTCACGGCAAATGACTAATTTGTGCACATGTAGCTATGCAGCTGCCATTCCAAAAAACTTTGAAAAATATCGAACATTTGATAAGATATTTCGTTAAATTTAGATATTTTACTCTTTAATTAGTTATTTCGCAAGACCAAGATTTTGTGCCTCTTTTTCTCCCTAAATTTCCCAATCCAAGATTTCATGCCCATCCTCATCAGCCGCTCAATCCCCGACGTGTTTTGTAACCGGATACCCTGCAACAATAGAAGGGCAAATTCTTCCTAGCCGCTTGCTCTCCAAAATCCCAGAACCAAGCCAAGCCAGGTAGGCGGCCCGCATCTGCTGACAGACCATTTCGCCCGCTCGTCTACACTACTGATGCCACTTTTTCGCGTGTAGAAGTGGATGCTTCGGGCCGGGGCGAGGCCCTAGTGCTCGCCCTCCGGCCAGCTGTTTGGGGTCAGGGCCCCGCTCGAACCGGCCGATTAGATTTCAGTTGTCCCCGGGTTCTAGACAGGCCATTCTTGGGAGATACATCCAACTTGAGCGTTGGGCTGATATACAATACTAGCACCTCTGTGCACCCTTTAGTATATTGTATAACATTGTAAAAATTAACAAATCGATTTTGTCTTGTTTTCTTCGTGACCTTTTGTGTAATTTTTTGTTTTTGCGCTACGGGGAACTATAAAAAAAGATATTCTGGACTGCAGAAAATTCTCAGAACTCCCAATTAGCATCTCGATTCTCAGAAACTTTGCAAATTTTCACCTGACAACTTGTTTACCAGAATTTTGAGGCTCCTCGAAAAACTCGAAATTTTTCTTATGTGATTTTCCGAGTTACCTTAGGAAGTAGCCCATGAAAACATTCAAAAAGATCTTTTCCACACTTGATTTTCGCATTTTTGAAAATCTCTAGACTCCACAGACTTTCCGAGTCAAATGAATGCCTTTGACGCCCATTTTTCGCCATTTTAGAATGCTTTTTATCTTGTTTTTTTTAGAATTAGATGTTTTTTTGCATTTTTTAGACCAGAAAAACGACCCCGCCCCATTCAGATTTGATCTCCAGTGCCCCGGCCCGGCCAGTGCCGACTCGAAAAAGCTTGGCAGCTTCCTGGCGGGCCCCCAGGCGGAGGAGTGGTCGATCGACGCAGAAAAAAAGAAGTAGACCCTCTGAAATTGGCCCCATCGAACCCCTGCTGGAACTGCAGCTTCTTCCCCTTTTCTGTCTTCCTTTCTTGGGGCCCCCTCGTTTTTTTTCCAGCTGCCCCGGCCATCATCAGGATGTGTGGAGGCGGCGTGGCCCAGATTTGGCGCTGATCTGGCGGCTCTTGGCCCATTAGGCGGTGTGCTATATAATTAGGAACGTGGATTAATGGAACAGCTGTCGCACCTGGGGTTAATATCGTATGCTTCAAAGCGTATTTTCTTGTTTTGCATATAATACGATTTCGTAATTTTTTATAGGCTTTTTTTTTCTGATGTTTTCTATTTTAATTGTCACCGAAATCCCGTAATAACCCTTGTATTTATGCATTTCAAAAATTTGAATAGATAATCATAGCTTTTTCCCATTTTTTGACGCCCAGTGACAAATTTTAACAACTTGTTTAGTTCCTTAAAGACCTATTGAAATTGCCTATTGTGTTAGAAAGATAAAGCATGAATTTTTCAGGAAATTCCTATTTATAAGCTTGTTTACTGCAAAAGTAAGCTGGAGACTTTTTGGAACCAACCATAGACTGGTCTCAAAAACCCCCGCTCTTCAAAGAGGCGCACCTAACAATTTATACAGTTCCACAAGCCCGAGCTGTTCCGCGTTCTGTGTACTCCGGCGAAAATGCGCAAAAAAGATTTTTCTCGGGCGTTGCTGTTCGAATACATATTTTATGTTATGATCCTTTAAAGGGCATAATGATGCTATTTAATAATAGAAAATAAAAGCGAGAGAACAAATCAGAAATAGCGCAAAAAAGGTAAATATGGCACCGCCATCATTATTTCGCGCTCCTTCGCTCTAGTTATCTCGCTATTTCTCTTTCTTTATTTCGCTCTCTCTCTCGCTCTCTCTCTCTCGATCGCTCTCTCCGTCACTCTCTCCCTACCATTCCCTCGCCTTCTTTCATTTTCACCCGTTTTCTGACAAGAAATTGCAAGATTATGAAAGAAGAACGCTCATTAATGCATCCACCTATCTATTCATGCCTTTAAAGTACACTTTAAATAACACATATCGCGAAGTCCTGATATTTCCATAAATTATTCACCATCTCCGATTGTTTCCGTCCCATCGGCATGAATTTTCCATGCTCCTGATGCCCGGAGGTATGGACAAAAAGTTTTCCAAAAAACGAGCGCTACCGGCCGGCCCAATCTCGGTCGAAGAATTATTGCGGAGCCTTTGCTTGGGTCCTTCTGAAAGCTCGGAATGGGCCCTTTTCTTCTGGGCCCCTAGCCTGTCTGCGCCCTCCCTCACTCTACCCCTGGAAGGCCCAAGCGCTGCCTTGGCCCTCCTCCCACCTCCCGCACGAAGCACACCCATCAACCATTAGCCATTCGCTTCTGCCACACGGCCGTTCTCTCGCTGGCTCTCTCCCTCTATCTCTCTCTCTCTCTCTCTCTCTCTCTCTCTCTCTCTCTCGCTCTCTCTCTCTACTGTCATTAGGCGGCCAGGGTGTGCATTTATGGACTCGTGGAGTCTGAGATTTGCCGGTGATTATTGAGCTTTTACCTCAAAGCTAAAGGAAGTGCTGCAGGCAGACAAAATATTGGATATGAATCACAAGTTTTTGTATCGTTTTGAGAAGCATAAGCAACCAAAAAGAGTCCGCCCTGGCCTTTCAGAGCCTTCATAAAAATTAAAAATTTCGGTGACCGGTCGGGAGCTTTTCTTGTTACCTCTGAACCCTTCTTAGTTTATTTTATTTGTTTTCAAAGCAGCAAATCTCCAGCAAATTTTTGTTGCGCGAAAAGCTTTAAAACTAAAAAGGCCTGTTTTGGCTTGTTCCAGACGCGTTATTTTTAGGGCATTTTCTTGTTTTACGCGTTACTTTAATTCCAGACGACCGATGAAAATCCCTTCTTGACCCGAATAATTTAATTCTACGTCGCGCCTGCCCAAACACGTGCTTAAAATTCCGAAAACATGCGTTCACAATATCCCGCTCACCTCAGATTTTTCCTGTTGCGGATTTCGGATTTTTCGGGTGTAATTTTATGAGCTTGAGATTCGGGCTTTGCATATAGCCAAGTTTGCGCTACATTTTTGCGCTGCATCGCATGGCTCGCTAGGAACTGAAAGCTTGCTTACGTTCCCCCGCATCAACGAAGGGTCCATCCATGTCCCCATGGCGCGACAATGGCTCACTTTGTCAAGAGACTGGGTCGACGAGACGAGCGCGTCTTTGCCACAAATACGGATGTCGTTTCCGCTTGTATCAAAACAAGAAACTTGCATTTTTATGGGCGAAAGGCTTCAGTACTCAGATTTAAATTGCTACGTTTTTGCATTAAAATTGCTTTAAGGTCTATAACACGAGTCTGCTTAAATTTTGTGCCGATTCTAATTTGATCTTTGTCAAGTAACAATAACAAACAATAATATTTTTATTTTCACGAGCGTTTAATGTTGCCTAGAAAGAATTTTAAGAACATGTCGTAATTAGTTGGAGAGTCTACCCCTTTTGGGAGGGCAGATTCTAGAGGAAGAACACACAAAATTTGCCAAGCGGCAAATCCAAGACAACGGCAGCGGTCAGCGAACCAAGAAGATGGAGTCAAAACTCCGCAAACCACTCGAAAAGCCTAATTAGTAGAGAGAAAACACGGGTTAGGGTTAAAAGAGTTTATTACGTAGGCGCGGATCAGTTAAATATGAACAAAAGCTAGGATCTACAGCGGGGAAAGGTTACAAAAAGGGAAAAGTTTTAGCGGGGATCAAAAGGGGAGAGTTTAGAGGTCAAAAGGGACATAATATACAGAAAAACTCTTATGACCAAAACAAGAGGGAAAAGAAGGGCCAAAGGTGACGGGGTCGGGGGAAGAGACGGGGCTCCGCGGGAAAATCCAACGCTCTCGCCAGGCAAAGGGAAAACCGTGCGGCTCTGTGCTCGGTGAGCGCGCGCTCTGTCCTTGGCGCTTGTGTCGTTGCGTACTCGGCCAGAGTGACATCCAAACTGGTGGCATCCCAGGATCGTCGGTCCGCCGACGAACGAACCTGCGCGCCGGGCTTGGTAGAGTCCGGGATCCCGTAGTTGTACGTGGTGGCGATCTTGTAACGAGCCTGGCCACGGGTTTGACTCTACGTAGACGAATTACGCTCGAACATCCATGCTTCTTTCCAAAACGTACTTTTCCTTGACTTGACGGGTGGATGAGCTTGCGGACGCGTTTGCGTGATGCAGAATTGTCGATCCACGGGCAGGCATCCTTCCTTCAGAGAAAACGAACGTACTTGTATTTCTTGTCGGATCCTTTCTTCGTATCCATTCCTTGTTGTAGGCGTCGTTTCACATCCATTTCTTGTCTTATTCAATCCTTGTTGGTGGCCCGTGCACCTTCTCGCGTTCCATCGTCTTGCACGGGCAGGCCGC